AGAAAGTTCCAAATAACCCTCCTCTCTAGTTCTTTGTTAGATGTTAGTGTTATAGGCAGAGTGATAACTTCGATATAGTCATGACTTGCTGTATTTTGTAAAACAGAGCTGAAGTGGTATTCCAGCAGAAGAAACAGTCTTTTACCATCGTTTTCCAGACTCAGGGAAACTAGGCAGTAATCATTCAATGCGAAATGACAAAATGATCAATACCAAATACCTTGTTTCTCGCAGGCAGTGTAGCATAATGTTTAAGAGAGTGAGCTCTGGACTCAGACTGCCTGTGTTCAAATGCTGACTATGCTGGTTACTAGCTGTGTGACCCTGAGTACATTGCTTAATTTCTCTGTGCTTCCATTTCTCAAAATGGAGATATTCATGATACCTGCCTCCCAGGATCCTTTTGACGATTAATCAAGATAACCTGGAAAGCACTGACTGACTCTTATTTATTGAGTCAGTCAGTGGCTGACTCTCAATAAATGGCAACGATTTATGTTATCATAATTTCTTCCTGCCTTTTTTTCCAGCAAAGGGGCTGCTTATAAAACAGGCTAGCCTCACATACAACCATTTGTGGAAGGTGGTGTGGTGATTCCTCAAGGATCTAGAAATAGAAATACCATTTGACCCAGCAATTCCATTACTGAGCATGTACCCAAAGGATTATAAATTATTCTATTATAAAGACACATGCACACGTATGTTTATTGTGGCACTGTTTACAATAGCAAAGATCTGGAACTATACCAAATGCCCATCAATGATAGACTAGATAAAGAAAATGTGGCACATATGCATCATGGAATACTATGCAGCCACATAAAAAAGATGAGTTCATGTCGTTTGCAGGGACATGGATGAATCTGGAAATCATCATTCTCAGCAAATTGACACAAGAACAGAAAACCAAACACCACATGTTCTCTCACACACAGGTGGGTGTTGAACAATGAGAACACATGGACACAGGGAGGGGAACATCACACACTGGGGTCTGTTGTAGGCTGGGGGGTTAGGGGAAGGATAACAGGGGGTGGAGAGATTGGTGAGAGAAAACACTGGAAGAAATACCTAATGTAGGTGACAGGGGGATGGAGGCAGCAAACCACCATGGCATGTGTATACCTATGTAATAATCCTGCAAGATCTGTACATGTACCCCAGAACTTAAAGTATAATAAATATATATATATATATATATATATATATATATTTTAAACCTATAGAAGTGAAATAGCTCAACACTTGCTTAAGAAAGATTTCAGGAAACACAGGATTGAAAATAAAACAGGCACATACAGTCATTGAATGATTAATCTACACATACCAGGTAGTTTAATATACTGATAATTGAAGTCCAGTAAAGGCAAAATTCTGGAATAGTGTTCCAGTTTGCACAATCCTGGGGAAGTGTTGCAGGACTCTAAATGCAGTCAGAGTAGAATGAACACTGAACTAAGAACTCAAGAAACAATATTCTTTTTTCTATATCTACCATTAACTGTTGTATGACCTTGATTAAACCACCTTACCTTTTGAAATCTTAGCCTAGGACAGAGGAATAATACAATTCATGTACCACATCCTATACAAGGTTGTTGTGCACATAAAAGAGTATTGTGTGCAAAAGCTAAGTATATTACAAAATACTAAGCAAATTCGAGTTACTCATTATTATTATGCTTAGAATCTTTCTTTGCCTGAGTTGCCCCCTAAAAATGAACCTGACGCAAATGTTTAAAAGTGTGCATAATTTATCTGGAAACATTATTCCTGAAAGCAGGAAGAAGTCAAGGACAAGTGAAATGAAATAGGAAAGAAAGGAGGTCAGTGCAAGGATGTGCTACTGAGATGATCACTACTAGGGGATACTGGTTCCTTGATTTTCCAGAACCTTCCTGGACACCTATTATAGTGCATCTCTGGGCCACCCACTAGGGAAATAAAGAAGGAGCACTTTATTTCTCAGTCTCTCTCTCCCATTGGTCATGGGTGGTACCATGGGGCATTGGCTCTTTTACATTTGAGGGTTGCGGCTATTTCCATAGGGGGCCAACATCATGAGGTCAGATAGGTCCATGGCAAGAAGTGAGAGAGGAGCATTTGGATTGGCGCTACTTGAAGCTGGTCTAAGCCTCAAATTGTCAAAGTGGCTGGAATAAAGGGCCTGATATCATTTGAAGTGGTTAGTACACAAAGGATGTCCAGCAGAGCCCTACCGAGAGATCATAACCTCTATTATCCCTTTCTTGGGATAACAAAGGCAAGCATGGAGTTATTACAATTTGAAGGACAGCGTTCTAAATTATTTTTATTTCTTGTCTTGCAATCAAACAGATGGTAACCTATATCTTATTTTTTCCAGCACATCTCGAATGCAGAAAAACCTAAATCTTTTTTACCAAACCTCTGTTTGGTAAACCTTACTCCTTCCTCTTCCCACTGCCTTACCCTAAAGCTACAAGATATAGCTCTAATGAAAAATCCACAATTCAAAGATTTTTCAAGAGAGCTCAAGCTGGCTCTGTGTATGTATGTAATGACATTTAAAAGAATACATAACTGGAAGGCTTGATGGCTGCATGGGCACAATCTCTTGTCTTCTCAACTGCAGAGGGAAGGTAATTCCACCATTTTGTACTGCCACGCTGATGCACTCAGTCCTGATCCATAATCAGATAAGCAATGTACAAATTAGCCTTTGGATGGCTTTCTTAGCCACATTTGAGGAGAAAAAGCTCAATGGACACTTTCACAAAGGAAAAAGAAATGCCAAATGCCTTTAGTGTCAGACACATGAGGATTTCATTCCTTGCCGTGGCACATGTGTTTGAGTGATCTTAAACCCTCTAAACTACACTTTCTCACCTGTAAAAAGAGAGTATTTGAAACCATGTCACAGAGTTATCGAGAAGATTCAAAATTAGAGATGATATGCATTCCCACCTAAAAGGATGCCTAGAAAATAGGAGGCATTCAATAAATAGCTGCTTTTATCATTATCACCATCATCATCATCGATAACACTACTAGTGTTATTAACCTATAAGTCTGTGAGGCTTCTTACAGAAAATGCAAGCTAATGTTTTCAGCTCAAAATTTGAAAGAAGTGACAAGTCAGAGAGAAGAGTCAGATCCACCAGAGACCCTCCACCTCAGTACCACTGCCTTATGTCTGTTAGAGTTTTTTCACCAACATCTGAACTCCTTTTCTGTAACTGAGAAATCTACCACTATATGAGAGAGGGTAGATCCATCTTCCAGTCTTAGAAACTAATCATTTTAGGCTTAGCCAATCAGATCCTTCTAACTAGGACTTTGAAGCTGGTGTGAGTAGCACCAGAATTACCTTCTTCGAATGCCCAGTGGTGGTAGTGGAAAGGACAGCATCCAGTGTCCAGCAGTGGCCAAGGGACAGGCCAAAGGATACTGAAAGGGACAGCATTCAGTGTCCAAAGGAAGTGACCAGGTGCCCAGGGTTGCAGCAACACATCCTTGACGGACTTTCCATGTGACATGACCTTGGCTATGATTCTAGCTATGCAGTTTCCCTTGCTTCTCATCTACTTTTTAAAACTTGTTGATCCAGGCTTTTCATCAGTTTTGTGAGTCATTTGATATCTTCCCAATATTTTTCTGTTTAAGTTAGCCAGAGTTTGTTTTCTCTTGCTTGCAGCTAAAAACCCCAGCTGGTCACTGGCTAACTGAAGCAGAAGGAGGATTTACTGCAAGGATATGAGGTAGCTCACAGAATCAAGGGAACGGCTGAGAACCAGACTCAGAAGGTCCAGGAGCCAGGGACTCCAAAGAAGCTGATGAAAAGCTCTGGTAGGGCAGAGCCGCAAAGCTAAATGAGCTAATAACACCTGGATTGCCTACCTTTGCTTAAAGACTCAAATTCACCAAAGAGGGTTCAATGGGCCAATTTGGATCACATGCCTACCACCTAGCCAAGGGTCATAGGCACCTTGATGGAAAATCATGTCAAGGCAGCATAAATGACAAACAACTAATGCCCTAAAAGAAAGCAAGCATTATCAAGGAGGTAAAAATAGATGCAGAGCAACAAATAAGTACGTATTTTTTTAATCCAGCAAATGTCCACAATACTGATTCAGGTATGTCTACCATAGGTTCAGGAGAAGATAATGGGTCCATTCCCCCTCTAAACAGTGCACCCCATGATTCTCCCCCACATTCCCTTTATACCTCTTTCTTCATTCCCATCTCCCCCCTTCACACCCTCCCATCCTTCAAATCCAGCCACATTCCACATCACCCATGAAGTCCTCCCAATGCATCTCCACTTCATCCATCCCTGCCCTTCCTCTGAACTTGGAAAGTATATTATCTACAAAATAGTATAGGTTTTCTCCTGTAAGATTTTTGTCTTGTCTTTTCATATTAAGTGTAAACTCCTTCAAGGAAAGGTAACTCCATGTATCCCCCACAGCACATAGAAATGTTTCCTGAATATCAATCATTTACAAATTATTTTATGAATTTCTACCATAGTTCAGTCTCATCTCTATAATTTTTCTTTAAACTTACCCTTTTTTCATTATGTATTTTAGCTGCATTCTAAGAAATTACCATCGTAAAATAAATTACAAGTTTAATATAGTTATACATTTTTGCAATATCATCAATACCCTGTTAATAAATAATGTTCAACCTTGCAATATGTTGAGAGAGAGAAAGATAAAAACCATGTGTCTTGAAACATTGACCAAGTACTTTGCCAAGCATACAAACTTGCAAAATGGAAAATAGGTGAATAAATGAGTGAGTCAATCAATCACCCTGAGATTGACCCACTGACTCTAATTAAAGAACTCAGCTGAGAGATACTGGGTCTCAGGTTGACTTCCGAAATTCCTTCTTAGCTAGTTAATTATTGCTCATTAAATAAACTGATCAATCAATCAGTCAATACCATGCCTATATCTCTTTTTTTTTTTTTTTTTTGTCTGAAAATGTCTTTATTCTACCCACAGACTAGACCCATGCCTACATCTGAATCAAACTAAAAGGAAAGATGGAACTGGCCTCTGAAATTCCTGACTTTGTCACACAGAGAAAGTGTGTTCTGAAAGAAAGGCACATTTGTAACCCCCAGACAACAGTTTAAGAGCACGTTCTTTGGCTGCATCTATAGTTGCATAAACATCCTTCCCCTCATGGTCCATTAGCTTCCAGGAAATGAGCGAAGGATCTGGCAACTGTCTTTCACTTGATCTTTGTTTCTCTCAAATGAAGGTAAGTGCTTTTAGGCTGAGTGCTAATGGAATTGAAATCCATCTCTGCTTTGCTGATTTTAGTTAACATCCCTTAACCCTCCCAAATCCAACCACTGCCTGAGCTCCGGGCAGAGCATTTATATGAGAGGAGGAGAGTGGCAGTAAAGAACAAAAAGGGCATTCGGATTTATTTCTTCCCTCAAAATGCATTCCCTGTCTTGTATACACCAAGTCTCAGTGCTAAATTTAAATGGCCCATTTTTTTTCTTTTGCTCACAATGTATCTTTAGTTAGAGCCAGACCCAAAAGTTATATGTTTTGGAAGAATGGAAATATCATAACTGTTAGAATCAGAAAAACCTCAAATTTTAAGGTTCATTTTGTCATTTACTTTTTGCAGGAACTTCAGTAAATGAACTTATATGTGCTTCAATTTTTGTTCCAGGAAAGAAGCATCACAAGATATAGTCAGTCACCCGGCCTCTTCCAATATGAAAACCTCATATGAAATATGGGGATTTTCCTTCTTTATTTTAGTTTTATTAATAGTGACAGAGCCCATTCAAGAGAGAAAGACAACCCACTCCTTCCCCCAACTCTTCCCCATCCTCTCTAGGAAGAAATAAATATTTTCCACCAGGGGAGAAGAGAAAAGCCCTGGGCTTTTTGTTGCTGTTGCTTAGTGAAGGTTTCATCCCAGGTGCTGATTTAGGGTGTTCACAGTTGTGCATAAAATTGGAAGAGAGAGACTCTGTGTGTGTTTTTAAAGTTGGAGGATGATGAGGACTTGGAGGGAGGTGAGGGAGGAAACACAGTTGATCTGGCATGGTTTTCTGTAGTTTGACCTGACACTGGGCAGGTTTTCAATAAGCATTTCCTTCATTCCCACTGCATACCCCAATGAATATGCTGCAAAGGCACAAGGGGTGTGGTCTGCGAGCCCAGGAACAACATTGAACAAAAGTCTTTGCCAGGCAACTGCCTCGCTTTTACTCAACAGAGAACTTCTTGTTATGGGCACTCAAGTCCTACCAACAAAGCCAGTCTCTAAGTAGGAGAAACTGTGTCCATCCAGAGCAGCCCCTTGCCTGGTGACCACTCAATAGGGATGATGAATGACTTTCTACAAAAATTTAACCCATTGGTGTCCAGATATCCTACGCAGGTGGCTCCCCACAAAGTCCTAACACAGGCATACCTCATTTTATTGTGCTCCACTTTATTGTGCTTTGCAGATACTGCATTTTTTACAGATTGAATGTCTGTGGCAACCCTGTGTCAAGCAAGTCTATTGGAAATTTTCCAACAGCCTGAACTGATTTCATATCTCTGTGTATTTTCAGGATATTTCAAATGTTTTCATTATTATTATGTGGTTATATCTGTTATGGTGCTCTATAATCAGTGATCTTTGATTATACCCAAGAGCTCTGATGAAACTATTGTAATTGTTTTGAGGCATCACAAACTACACCCAAGTAAGATGGCAAATGTAATCGAACGGTGTGTGTGTTCTGACTATTCCATCAACCAACTGTTCCCATTTCTCTCACTCTTCTCAGCCTCTCTACTCCTGAGATACAATAATATTGAAGTTAGGCCAGTTAATAACCCTAAGATACCCTCTAAGTGTTCCAGTGAAAGGAAGAGCTGCATGTCTCTCACTTTAAATCAAAAGCTAGAAATGATTAAGCTTAGTGATGAAGACATGTTGAAGCCAAGATTGGACAGAAGGTAGGCCTCTTGTACCAAACAGTTAGCCAAGTCATGAATGCAAAAAAAAATTAAAAGTGCTACTCCAGTGACCTCACAGAAGAAAAGAAAGCAAAATTTTCCTATTGCTGATATGGAGAAAGTTTTAATGGTCTGAATAGAGTAAACCACCTTCAACATTCCCTTAAGACAAAGACTAATCCAGGGAAGGTCCTAACTTTCTTTAATTCTATAAAGGCTGAGAGAGATGAGGGAGCTGCAGAAGCAAAGTTTGAAGCTAGCAGAGGTTGGTTCATGAGGTTTAAGGAAAGAAGCCATCTCTATAAAACAAAAGTGCGAGGTCCAAAGCAGCAAGTGATGATGTAGAAACTGCAGCAGGTTACGCAGAAGATCTAGCAAATATCATTGACGAAAGTGGTTCCATTAAATGACATATTTTTAGTATAGATAAAACAGTTTTCTATCAGAAGAAGATGCCCTTTAGGACTTTCATAGCTAGTGAGAAATCAATGCCTAGCTTCAAAACTTCAAAGACAGGTGGACTCCCTTGTTAGGGGCCAATGCAGCTGATGACTTTAAATTGAAGTCAGTGCTTATTTTTCATTCCAGCAATCCTAGAGACCTTAAGAGTTATACTAAATCTACTCTGCCTGTGCTCTGTAAATGCAACGACAAAACCTGGATGACAGCGCATCTGTTTATAGCATGGTTTACGAATATTTTAATCCCCCTGTTGAGACCAACTGCCCAGAAAAAAAAAAAGATTTCATTCAAAATATTGCTGCTAGTTGACAACACACCTAGTCACCCAAGAGATCTGATGACGATGTACAAGAAGATTAACGTTGTTTTCATGCCTGCTAACACAACATGCATTCCATTCTGCAACCCATGGATAAAGGAGCCATTTCAACTTTCACGTCTTATTATTTAAGAAATACATTACATAAGGCTACATCTAGTGTAGACAGTGAGTCCTCTGATGGATTTTGGCAAAGTAATTGAAAATCTTCTGGAAAGAGTTCACCATTCTAGATGCCTTAAAAACATTTACAACTTATGGTAGAAGGTCAAAATACCAACATTAACAAGAGTTTGGAAAAAGTTAATTTCAGCCTTCGTAGATGACTCTCCGAGGTTCAAGATTTCAGTGGAGGAAGTAATTGCAGATATAGGGGAAATGTCAAGAGAACTAAAATGAGAATTAGAGCCTGAAGATATGACTGAGTTGCTGCAATCTCAGAATCCAACTTTAATGGATGAGGAGTTGCTCCTTGTGGGAGAGCAAAGAAAGTGGTTTCTTGAGATGGAAGCTACTCCTGGTGAGATGCTGTGAATATTGTTGAAAGGACAACCAAGGATTTAGAATATTATGTAAATTTAGTTAATAAAGTATCAGCAGGGTTTGAGAGGATTGACTCCAATTTTGAAAGAAGTTCTACCTTGGGGAAAATGCTATCAAACAGCATTGCATGCTACGGAGAAATTCATTGTGAAATGAAGCATCAATTGATACAGCAAACTTTAGTGTTGTCTTATTTTAAGAAATTGTCACAGCCGCCCCAAACTTCAGCAGCAACCACCCTGGTCAGTCAGCAGCCATCAACATCGCAGCAAAATCCTCCACCAGCAAAAAGATTAGGACTTGCTGAAGATTTAGATGATCATTAGCATTTTTTAGCAACAAAGCATTTTTTAACCTTTTATTGGTACATAATAGTTGTGCTTATTTATCAGGCACATGTAATATTTTGATATATGCATACAATTGTATAATGATCAAATCAGGGTATTTAGGATACTCATCATCTCAAATATTTAACATTTTTTTGTGTTGGGAGCATTTCAGATCTTCCCTTATAGTTGTTTGGAAAAATGTAATAAATTATTGCTAACTATAGCCACCCTACTGCACTAGAACACATTACATCTATCTAACTGTATGTTTGTGTCCATTTACCAACCTTTCTTCATTCTCCCATCCCCTTCCTAGCCTCTGGTAATATTGTTCTACTCTCTGCTTTTATGAGATCACGATTTTAAGCTTCCACAAATGAATAGGAACGTGCAATATTTGTCTTTCTCTGCCTGGTCTATTCCATTTAACATAATGACTTCCAGTTTCATCCATGTTGCCGCAAATGATAGGATCTCATTCGTTTTATGGCTGACAAGTATCTCATTGTGTATATATACACCTCATTTTCTTTATCCATTTATCCTTTGATGGACACTTAGATTGATTCCATATCTCGGTTGTTATGAATAATAGTGCTGCAATAACATGGCATTAACCTCATGTAGCATAATGCTTACTAACCATTCCCATAATTCAGGCAAGTTTTACTTCTAGAATAGTTGGCTGTAAAGTAATACCTCAAAGATGCTGTGGATACAGTTTCAGAATATTCACTCCTGTGATAACTATAGCTGGCTTTTCTCCAACCAAGTATATTATCTCCAAGTATATATATATTATTTCCAAGTATATTGTGGATATACTTCCATGTAGTATCGACTACATGAGGGTGGAGGGTATCTCTTTGAAAGATTGATTTATTTTCCTTTGCATAAATACTCTGTAATAGGATTGCCAGANTTTTTTTTTTTTTTTTTTTTTTAGATTTTGTGAGCTCTCCATAACTTTTTGCATAATAGTTCTACTAATTTTCATCTCCACTAACAGTGTATAATAGTTCCTATTTCTCCACAACCTCATCAGTATTTGTTATTTTTGTCTTTTTTTTCTCATTGTGGCTTTGATTTTCATTCCCCCGATAATTAGTATTTTGAGTGTTTTTTTATATACCTGTTGGCCATTTGTATGTCTTCTTTTGAGAACTGTCTATTCAGATCCTTTGCCCACTTTTTAATAAAAGCAAAGTATTTCCTAATTAAGGTGTATGCATTGGGTTTTTTAGACAGAATGCTATCAAAAACTTGGTAGACTGCAGTATAGTGTAAACATAACTTTTATATGCACTGGGACAACAAAAAATGTGTGTGACTTGCTTCGCTGCAATATTCACTTTATTATCGTGGTCTGGAACTGAATCCACAGTATCGCTGAGATATCACTCTACAGCCAACTGTTCTAAAAGGAAAACTTGCCTGAGTTATGGGAATGGTTAGTAAACATTATGCTACATGAGGTTAATGTCAAGTGTCTCACAGGGTCTTTTAAGATTTAAATAAGCTAATGAATAAAGAGTACTGCATCTGTTTGCTCGTTCATCTTCTTCCTTTTACTTGCACATTGATCCTACCCTGAGTTTTGCTATGGCTAAGGAAACTATTTAATTCAACAGACCTATACCCCAATATTAAGTGATTCCATCTATAAGTAAATCAATACATGTTTCTCTTTTAATTGCAGAAAAGCCAACCATAGTCCCAGGAGTAAAACTTCAGTGTGGTTTGTTTACAAAGTTGAAAGCAAAATGTGCCCAAAGCACCCTTTTTTTCATTTTCCATCCTTTTATTAGGATATATTAGCAACACTTGAAACTGTGTTGACGTTAGCACTGAGAGCATATTTAAGAAAGAAAAAGGGAACTATGTTTAAATATTCATCGAAATCTTCCCAACCTACCCCTGGCTTTCTTCACTTTCATGAGGCTGAGGGAAATATCGGAGTTTCAGGGATGGCTCAAACAAGAAAAGCTGCACCACAGACTCTGGAAATTTCTGAATTTAATATTTGAGGACAATACAGAAGGTCCAGAATATGAAGTAACTCTTAAAGCCATTCAGCAAGAGTCTGAATCGTGGGTCACAAAGCTGGTGTCTTGGAGCAAGTCATTCAGTGGGTGAGTTTAATTGATCATCTAGCCTCTCCAGGATATAATTGCTATTCTGTATTCAGTGACTTTCATGGAGTTATAAAAGAAAATTGTTGCTTGGTGACAAGAAAGCCAACTTCTAGTTCTGATATTGGAATAAGAAAGCAATGACTTATTCAGAAAATATAACTTGTGGATACATTAAAGAATAGGGAATGCATAGGGATAGCTGGTATCAATTACAAACCAGAACCTCAGGTATGCTAGAAATGTGATTGTAAACTTAAGTTCTATTTCAATCCTCCATTCCAACTAGTGATAAATGCTTAATTTCATAATATTTTCAGTATATTGGGTTAAGTAAAAATATATTATTAAAATTAATTTCACCCATCTCTTTTTATATTTTTAATGTGCTAGAAAATTTAAAATTACATATGTGATTCATATTATATTTCTATTGGACAGTTCTGGTCTATGTTATTTAGAATACTTTATTGCTAGAGTACTCGAATTATTCAGTGGACTTTAAAAACTGGTGAGCTGTAAGATGTTTTAGTTAATGTCTTTTTTTTTTCTTGAGACAGGGTCTTGCTCAGTCACCCAGGCTGGAGTGCAGTAGTTTGATCATAGCTCACTAATCGTAAACTCAAGCAATCCTCCTGCCTCA